CATCTGGAAGTTGATAGAGTGCCATTAAACAACGCAATAAACTTGACCTTTATACTTCTGTAAGCAGCGCTGTCAACGTAAAATACGATAATTGAATGTCACATTGAACCAATGGCCTTGGTAGGCACCTCGCTTGCAACCTTGATCAGACCAGCGATCTGTTTGAGGTGTGCCCATGATGCATGAGAGTTAAAAGCAATTAATCCATGAAACATTCAACGGATTCACATCGACGTAAGTCACAAGAGGACTGCAGTTCCACGTCAATAGCGTGAGCCTTGTGGCATTGATACAGCATCTCAAGACGCCTCTCACGTAAGACTCCCTCACATTTGACTCTCGACATGACTTTTATACTTGTTAAAAATCACAGTTCAGAGTGCATGGTGATGCATTTTAAATTCCAAATTGAAATGTCAATGGTGATCTTCTGGGCTATGACGGTCGCTAGACTTGTATTTGTGTACTAATGTTTCGGAAGAATATTCTGCTTCCATCTTCAGGAATAACGGGGGAAAGCAGTAGGATTTGATAGTTTCACGGCGGGGAGTCCAAAGATGGGTGTCTTCTAGTAAACTCCTACCAGACCGCACAGCGTCACAACCCATAATACCACGATCGACATCTTTACCGCCGTCAGAACCTCGTATGTCCGTGTTGAAATGTTGGTACAGGATTACGTCAGCTGTGGAAGTTGTCTGAGTTATAACCCATCAGGAATTAACAACTCGCGGTCCGCATGCATTTTTATAACAATGTGTACGATAAAAAAGTTCGATGATGTCAAAAAATATGCTATGTTAATTTTATATATGTATATATATATAACTTTCCGAAAAGTTCCAACAAACCAGATTTACTGATTTAATAAAACAACAAATATGATTATATCTTTACACGTAGCTGAAATTATAGTTTTGATAATTTCAGGCAATGTTTTAAGTAACAATAATATTTTGTTTTTATTTTTTGACTTATGCCAATTTGCACTGGCACCTACGAATCCGTTTATCATTTTTAACAAACTGGAATGGGGTTTTAATAAATTGTCCCAACACACAATCCACTGGCCCAATGGTCAATAAGAACGACTGAATGTGACCCCAAGTTTAAAAAAAGTCGAGAACCCTTGATCTATATCCTGCGGCCTGACCTGGGTACCTGAAAATCAATTACTGGGCATCGCATTGTCTCTGCCGAGTACCACTGCGCTAAAGGAAAAACATCACTTGGCATCAAAAGAAAACTGAGCAGGCTGAGCACGTGATTGAAGCAGAGAGCTGATATTAGATCTGTACAAAACGGGAAGGAAAATGCTTCTTCAACCGTACCGGGCAGGTTAAAGTAGCGGCAAAGCTTTAGGCATATAATGGAAGTGGCTTGCTTCTATCTCAGAAGACTCACCGGTTTCCATGGCTGACGTCAGCTGGAGTCTGTGAATGCTCAGATACAGCTCTGCATTGGAACGGAATTCGTCGGCCGCTGATAATGGCTCAGATATTCAAGAACTGCCCGTCTTTCACAGAATCCGAAGGTTCATTACCGTGTTTACATGATCCCACCATTAGCCCATATTTTAAGCAAGATTAATCTAGCCCATACCATCACACCCTATTAAATTAAAACGCACTTCAATATTGACTACCTATCTACTATTCGGTCTCTCAAGTTGTCTTTTCCATTCAGGTCTCACAGCTGAAAATTGTACGCTTTTCTCATCGGTCCAGTCCGTGCTAAGTGCCCCACCATCTTACTCTACTTGATTTGATCACCCTAAAACACTACGAAGAGTGGGCCTATAAATCACAAAGCAAAGTTATCTCTCCATTATCCTGTTATTGTTTCCTTATTCATCCATTTGCCTTTGAGTCGATATTTCCAACTGGAGTGTCCTGTGTAACATTTTTTAACCATTTGAAGCCGAAGCTCGTCTAAATAATATTTAATAGATCAGTCCGTACCGCGAAGAAAACACACCACTTCACCATTACAAATGACAACTGGTTGACGCTGTTTAAGGAAATAATCCCTGATTACAATGAGAACAATCCGAAACCCATACATACAAAACGCAGATTTATTAACTGTGTGAAGCAGGTGGTACATATAGTTACCACTGAGTCTTAAAGGGTTAAGACCGTGAGGCTTCTGGGCCCCAAGTGGACAACTACCCCGTGTCTGCTGTCTGCGATGCTCATTCACTATCTTCACACCTGCCCTTTTGTTACAAGTATAACAGACTTTGAACTTCCTACGTCTTTGCAGGTTCCCTGAATGAAGTACAAAAAATGAAATCTTAATGGAGAGGTCGTCTGTCTTCATCCCTTGTTCCAACGGCAAACCAAACACCATCAATGTTCATTCCACGAATAACACATAAAAGCTGTTCACTACCTTTTCGAATGAAATGAACGAACCTTGCCAACAAAACACGTTTTGACCCCCGAGGTCGTACCGTTGTAACGGCGTATGTCAGAAAGATAAATGTGATTATTATAGGTCCATGCAACCATAAATTAGGGTACGCGTTACACAGAAGGAAAGGTTGTATGAACTGACGTCGTCAGACATGCTATGAATAACTTCACTCTTCCTCAAAGCGAGGGCGATCCGAACGAAACAAAGTACAATCAGTCGTCCAACATTGTTAAATGACAGAGTTGAATGTACGTGAAAGGTAGACGACCAACATATTCATCCTCATAAAGATAATGAAGAAGCGACTTGACGGGGTACAGAACTGTACAAAGGAATAAAATAGATAAATAAATGTACAGTAAAAAAATTAATCGGGAGTCCATCAAAACGAGATGCAAAGTGATGTTCTACAATTATAAACAAGCACTAACACGTCTCTTCCAGTCATAAAAAGCAAACAAGTAATTACAATTTAACCGTATACAGAGTAATTCTTAATAAGACTCGAATAATATAAGGAACGTGTTCTACCTTTAAAATCAAAGCAAAAAGTTCCTGTAAACATATAGTCGAAACGGCTTTGCTAGTGTAATATGGCAACGTTACGCAGGGATAGGGATTCATAGGATGAACTCTTTTTTTACATTAGGTACATTAAGATAAAAGTTAATTAACTTGGCTTCAGAAAGTGCTAAGCTTATAGCGCTCACAATAATGAACGTTTAATAATCGAATGCTGAATGCAGGCGATGAAACAGCCGAAGGACATTTGACCTAAAGTTTTCTACGTGTCCGTGATGTAATAAGATCATTAGTGTAAACCTCTCTTCACTTCAACAATTTGCAGATCATTGTAACTAACTCAGTCATGCAGGAGTTTGTTCAATACCTGAAACAAATTCAGCTCATTCTTTGTTGAGTAACCTCCGTTGCATTTTCCTGAGTCAGACATATTGTGTTCACAGTTTAAAGATTTAATTTTTACGACATTCAAGATAAACCACGTAATTAAAACGGGTAACAAATCATAAAGCTATAAACTATTATCACAGACGATATTTAAGCTAAATTGTCGTCTTTTCGTTATTAAAATCATGAGTTAGCTTTCTCTACTTTTAGTATCTTCCATGATAAAATAACCTCTTATAAACTTCTAAGTCTCTATTAGTGATTATGCAAAGGTTCAGAAACCACAACACTAATTAATCCGACCTAACAATGTTAATCTGACTTAACGTATAATCCCTCAAAACATAAAACGCACATTTAGGAACCAAACTGAAATAACTCTGAATAAATATACAAAGTAATCAATTATAACCTGAATGAAACACAGCGAATAGGATGACGAAGAGGTACTTCAAATTCATTACGCGGTTAAAACTCATCATTGTTATATAAATCTAAACGTAAACAAACAATGGGCGAATTAAAATCATAAGACGTAAGATTGGGCCTAATACTGTCTCTACATGCGATGAAATATTCAATTCCACAACTTATAACAACAGCTTGGACCAAAATATCATTACTAAATCTATAATGGATCAATATTCAACACCTAAAAATCACAATAAAGTGGTGTAAATATTTAATATGGGCTAAATTGTCCCTACAGCGATGTGACTTCAAATTTAATTATAGAAGGGTACGTAAGTAACTTCAATTCTATTTGTTAAGCTCCATTACTCTCAAAATTAAACCAAAAAACTGCAGCGTTGTGGTTTATTCAGACATAATTTCAGTGTGCAGTAGTATGAATTGCATAAAGCTCACCTAATGAGACATATCTAAAAATAAACCCTAATACACCTGTCTACACTTTTGAATACAATGGCAGGTCATTTGTGAACATTGGCTGGGTTAGTGTTTTTTTTACATCTGACCTACCTGGCGAACGCAAAATACAGAGACAGCTATATGAATAGTTAATTTATTTAAATATATAAGCATCAGCTATTTAAACAGATACTAACTACTTAGCCGACCGATAATACTAACAAACTATGTACCTACGTAGCTAATAAACTAACAGACTAATGCTTGGGTAGCTAACAAACAAATTTAACTAAACAGCCAGCAACCTAATACTTACTCTAAGCAGTAACGGACAGTTAACTCCCTGAGCAGACTGAAAATATTTGGTGACAACTATTTGAAATGAAATTTCCCTGTCTCGAATGAAAAATATGCAGGCATATAGTTCTTTAATATTCAATTAAAAATTATGCAAGACTTTAAATATACGTAGTTTTACTTTTCTAATTTTGGATACACCCTATAGCTACATAAGATCTGCTTTCCTACAAGGTGAAGAACCGCTTCGCCTCAAAACGGAAGATGAACGTTTTCGAAAAGTAACCTACGTCATGTCATCTCCGGGTTTTCCTTCTATTCGCTCCTTGAAATGAAATCACAGTTTTATATAGAAATATACGATAAGAATTCTCATATAGCCCAGTTAATTAAACTACCGTATTACAATGCTGATGTGTATACGAATTCAAATCATCAGATATTTTCCTATGCAGCACTTAATCAAATACGAAACGCCTCCATTACGTAATTATTGGTTCCCTTACCTTCAGCCACGCCTCGTGCTGCCATCCGTTTTGGCGTGAGAACTGCAAGAAGAAACCTAACCATCATGATCTGGGACCAAGCTTGTATTACACTGCATATGACCTATAATACAACTGTTTTACAAGTTCCGCACGTCATAAATGTCATTTTACACTTTATCACACTAAAATCACACACTTTTTATCAGTTAACTTACAATTACAATGCACTATGAAACAAATAAGCTTGCAAGCACTGACGAAGCTTCGGCCACCTGCTTCGAGTTTCTCGTAACTGCCGCAATTCGGCTAACATCGGAAACTTTCCGATTACTCGAAGTTATGCAGGGCGTATTTCCGTTTTTAATAATACTCTCTTTTCTTGTGAAAATAAAGTAGGCATATGAGGACATCATGATATTTTTGTATGTCCACTTCAAATTATTTATTGAACTGGCCGTTTCTTTGGGAATTTGATATTAAATTACGCCATTGGATACCACCCCACCCCACCTTGCATTGCAACATGATCGTCGAAATACAGCATGTCCCACAAAGATGTATACACACATTCAATGAATGAAATAAATACATTTTAATAAACTAAACCATTACATACGTCAGAATTGGTACTTTATAAATTAGCGAGTCTAATGCAGTGTTAAAAATTGCCACCGCCAGGTTCCCGTCGTAAACAGAACATATGGAGATCCATAACTAAGGTTAATATTACGCATTATAATGTGTGTACATCCTCTTGGGACACTCTGATATTTGTTAAGGTATATTTACAGAAAGTGAAAAATATTCCTTCGTAATTTTGCAATATTCTTCACGTTGTTGAAAGCTGAAGGCAGCCATTAGTTATTTCAGCCGAAAAAGCATGATATGACTTCTGACAGAATAAATTAAGTGAGCAGTCCTTAAGCACACAGAATACATAAATCATGTTTCTTTGAAGAGAACTGTAGAATGTTCATCGCGTGGCTTTTGTAAGAAACTACAAATGACTTCTCAGAGTAAGGTAAAGTAACGTTTTCATAAGGACGCCGACTGAGATTAATCGTACGCTGTTTCGGTCAAACGTGCGTGGCGGAAAGAGCCCCTGAAGGTGCCCGTTTACGTCACTTCTAAGACGACAAAATAATAAGTTGACAAACTGAAACCCAAAGGCCTGTGTGACTCTTGAGTCTCGTGTTCTGCGTTGCAACAAATCCGATAAAGTTATTAATTGTTGTGTAAATGCATATAACACTATAATTCCTTGCAGTTTAATTGTATCAGATGAAAAAATAACATTTTAAGTTTCCACGACGGTGTCAGTGTAGACGATCTTAATATGTGCCAACGTTATGTTGGAACATACTGCCTCCATCATCGGG